CCCCCCACCCGGCAGTGTTGAAAGTCCGGGCAAACCCCCCCGATGTACCCAACATGTTGCTTCATTGATTTACGGCGACTTGTTTTGACTTGCCTGCAAAGCCCGTTTCCTCGTTACTGTTACTGCGCAAGTCCCGAAAAAGGTTTACTTACCTGCCTCGCCACCCTTCACTGCCCATTGATGATTTGGAGTGAGTTTCCATGAAGGAACCACACTCATGCGAGCTGTCGCACATCTGTAGAAACACAATCTCCAGAAGCAAAGTACCAAACGACGCAAGAGACAAGTCTCAGAGTTACGGTACTTCACTGAGCTGAAACAAGAAACCCCAAGAAAAGAACCTGCATAAGGACGCAAACTCCTTTGTTCACATGGCTATCCTTTCATCAGATCAGTGTGTGCTTACCATAGTTCAACACAGATGTGTCCTTCTCGAGTTGAAGGGGGAAACACCTTTTCTCTAGGGTCCCTCTGGATACACAAAGGCACAAACCAATGCTCTTCGAGATCACCAAAACAAACTCCCAAGATTGGTGCAAGCCCGTGTTGAATTGATGTTTGGCTAACTTCCCTGGGTGCTAAACGGCGTTTCTGGGAAAAGAAGGGACAATACCCATCTCATGTCCGTTTCTCTTCGGGTAAGCTAGCAATTCATGGACATGTTTCAGCCTCCAGACTTCCGGTCGATTCTTTTGATGCTGCTTGTTTTGAGATAGCTTGCGTCATGTTTTTTCTCGTGGAACGCCGTGCAATCACCACATGCCCAAACAAAACCAAGTCGAGCCTCATCTGGCTGAGCCTGCAAGGCTTGCCGCTCTGAAATCCAGAAAAATCTACATAGAGGGTCCCTTGAAGTTTCCTGAGGATGGTTCTGGGCTAAACTCCTCGCAAATGACACGGGACTTCTCAGGCAGGTTTTGAGGTACAAAACATGAGACATGGGACCTGTGAAACTAACGCTTTTTTGCACTCGAGCTGGAGACCTGGGACTCATCCTTCTGAGCCCAAAAGCATTATGCCAAGCACGGCCGAGTCTGTGCCCTGTATTCTTTGGCCTTCTCTCCACCTTTAGTTTACCTAGCCTATGCTAATACAGAAAAACGTGCGGGGGCTTGGATAAGCTGAAACAACCAGGATATGCTTTAGCCCGGCCTGAAAACGCGTAGATCAGGCCAAGAAGAGCAGTGGCAAAACTACAAGCAGCAAAAGTCGATGAAGGGGAAATGGCCAGTAAAAGGCTTGGAGAAGGCTGAGAAGGCTAAGAGCAGAGCGGGCAATTCCCGAGACAAGGTGCTCCTTTGGCATTGTGGTGAAAGCAGTGGAATTACTAGGAAAAAGCCATAGCGCAACCTACAAAAAGCAACACATCAAGGAATGATCTGAATCAACCTAAAAAGGCATAGATAAGGTTTCAACGCCATGAATAGCATTAGAACAAGATGCTAGAACACAAATGGCGATGAACGGGAAAGGGGAAAAGGCCTCGTACAAGGCTGAGGAAGGGCTGGACGTACAGGTCCCAAGTTAGAAGCGCTAGGCAGAAGCTATCAATCTGCGCAAAAGGATTGTATAACTAGGGAAATGCATTGAACCGGCCTTTAATGGTATAAACAAGGCCATGACGCCATAAACTAAGCATTTGCAAAAGCCAGGAAAGGCAAACAGGAAAGGCTAGGAAATGACTTTACAAGAAGGCTAAGTGAAGGCTAGACAAATGCCAGACACAGGGCAAGCAAGCCTTGGAAAAGCCGCGGGTGCCTGCAGGTCCCAGGTGATGCGGCTTCCTGTTGTTGTGTTGGAGGAGAAGTTGCCGAAACGCCAGGGGGAAAGGTAATTGAATCTCGGAAAGAAGAAAACTCGAAAAATGCTCACCTGCCGGAATTTCATGCAGAGAAAAAGCTAGGAGAAGCATTGGCTGAGTGAAAAAAACACTTTGGTGAACTAGACCTGCAGGTCCCAAGTCAAGGGGCTCCCTTTTGGCGGAAAGCTGTGGAAGTGCAACGCCAAAACGCTAAGGCAACGCCTCTTCAGGCAATCGACTTCCCAAACTTAAGGCTGCATTGCGGCGAGAGTTCCATTTGATGCAAAGAATAACAATTGCTTTTGCTGTTTAAGTGAACCTTCAAAAACAGGGGTAAAGTGGGCAGGTTGCCGCTAGCTTCTGCCTCAAGCCAAAGCGGAGACTCCACAACTTGGCCAGCTTCTTGTTTTGGCTGTTGCAGGAAAACCCGCCCAAACGCTCCAGACCAGTGTCTCTCTCTCTCTCTCTCTCTCTCTCTCTTTATGCACACCCTACCCTCAAATACCTCCTTTAAGGCCCAGGCAGTCATGAGCCTCAAAAAATCCCGCACCGTGCAGCCTCAATACCCATCTCCGTATCTATGTATATAAGAGGATGCCCTCGACTCAAACCCCGGACTCAAAAGAATAATGTGAACCCCGGATTCATAAACCCCTGGTTGACTCTTATAGGGGGGTGCCCAATTCCTTTTAGTGGGGATTCAGACCACTTTTGGAGGGGAACACCTCACTAATAACAGGGATATTTTGGTGGAAAGAGCCATGTTTCAAATGGGCAACATGTATCTTTTAAGGAGCCCTGGTTAAATGGGACAGGTTTGTTAATCCTGGGTCAACATTACACCCCATCCACATCCCAGACATCCACTGGGCTCCGGATACTTTTCGCCTCCCGGAGGCCGAAGATCTCGGGATCCAGCACCACAGACTTCGGGACCTGAGGTCAGGCGGCTGCGAGTCTGTGCTTCTAACAAACATGTGTGTTTTTTTGTTGTTCTGGTGCCTTGGTGTTATTTAGCGAACAGGTTTACTATTATCATTATTGTTGGTTCTTCTGGTGACTTGGATGTTTAAGACATTTGGTGATTCAGTGTCTTAACCTGTCGCTTTTCAAGGGACACCTCGCCTTTTGGTGACAGGGCTGTGGGAAATGGCTTTGCCACTTCTTTTTTACAACAGAAAGAAATGGCTTCCCAAAGACTAAGCACCTATATCAATTGGGAGATGCCCCAAAGTATCACCGTGGTTGGACAACCCCCGGATGCCACACCCCCAAAAAGGCGGCTGGACCTCGAGCCAAAGCCCTGAGCTTCCGGGCGATGTGGCGCACGGAGTGGGAGTCCGAAAGCATGGCCTGGCCGTCCACGATGAAGATCACCTCCGAGACCCGAGACTTTTGAGAACTGGAGTTTCCAACTCATGGTCACATGCAAAACCGATCGGTACTAAAATGGTCAGAACCATGTCAAGAATTAAGCATGTCAAGAATTAAGAAGGCGGCCGCAGCTATTTTTCGCTGGGATTGGCCCTTACTAACCTTCATCTACCCGGGTTTTGATTGTGGCTCATGTTGAGCCCGGATTTGTTCAACCCCAGCGTACTAATAGGGGGTGTCCCTGGTTGTGGGGATTCAGGATGATCAACCCCCTTAGTAATACGAATGGGTGTCCCTGGTTGTGGTTTGAGTGGGGATTCAGACCACTGTTGCAGAACAAAAACACCCCATATATTGATAAACTGGGGTTTGTCAATCCGGGGTCAACATTACCGAAGGCAACCCAAAGAACGAGCCATACTGACACAACCCACCAAAGTGAACCAATGTCATTTTCCCCCTGTTTAAAGGCCAGTTTGAGGGTGGTACACTCAAACAAGTGGATACTGCCCCAAGATGATGAGCGATGTTCCATGTTGGTGGGAAGTTGAGGGAGGATGACCTGTGGACACGGCTTGTGAGTGGGGTGATGTTTGAAAGAGACATACGGAACCCTGAGTGGGAAGTTTGGACACAATGTATACCACGAGCGATTCAGACCCTGCATTGGTAGTTTGAGGGTCCAGGCACTAGGCCAACAAAGGAGGCCCTTGTTACGTGCTTGCGGAAGGGGGGGTCTGAGGGTCTGAGGCACATACCGAACCGGTAGTAAACAGCACGCGACTGCGACCGTCTGGTCAAAGGCTGTCCGCGGACACAAGCATGTCCCATCGCTTGAGGTCATGGCTTCCAGAATCCGACAGAAGTGGCGTGGCCAACGTCGTCGTGGCCCAAGCCAATACTTGACGTTATCCGCTGGCCGGCAACGTAAAGCAGAGTGTCGGTCTTATTCTGACGGACCTGTAAGATCCGCTGAATCGCAAAGACACGGTGAGATTGGATCCAGATCAATCATCATCGCGCGCGTGCCTTCTTTGCGCGCGTCTCGTCTTTAATGCAAAACGCTCTTGGGACCAAGGCGTGACTCAAAGCGCGGTTGTTTGTTTGTCTGTCTGTTTATGTGTTTCATGCCCGAAAAAAGATTCCGCATGTTGACTTTGAGGTGCCCAAGAAAGCTCCCGTATAAGTGTCAAACGTTGAATGTCAACTGTTAGGGGCGGATGCGGGAAGGCTGGGGGAACCATCAAGTGCAGCAGCCTCTAGACCCTGCTGTCAGAAGGAAACACAGTGAGCCCAGGGGTCGCATTCAACCGGATAGTTCCCACCCAACCTTCCACAGACATTCCACAGATTCAAATTCAAAAGTCTACTTGGATGCCGTTTTCAGGCCAGGCAATGGGCCTAAAATATCGGCCAACATGTTCAACTTTACGGATCCCGTGGATGGAGCAATTCAAGTGTCACACACCTTGCCGGAAGCCTTTGACCAAATGCTTGCAACCTATCAGCCCCGCGCCCCACAAGAGGCTCACCTCAAAGATATTGAAAACCGCCACGCGGGAATATGCTCTGCAAGTAAACGGGGAGCGAGTAGCAAAAGGGGGCCTTTCCCACAACGAGATCTCTCTACAAGGGGTGGGGTGTCTTGAATAGCTTGAACTACTTTGGCGTGCTGTGTGGAGAAAGCACAAAAGAACATGATTCAGTTTTAGGGGTTCACTAACAAGGTCAGAATGAGGTCAAAAGCCCGGCTCGTCGACTTGCAAATGAACAATACAACCATAAGTCCCCTGTTCGAGAAAACGCATGGACATCTTGTAACGAAATAATGCCAATCTGGCCCGTGCCGATTTGTTTAATCTTACAAGGAGACTGGTTGATCGCCAGCCAGGCAAAATAATCTGGAGGAAAGGGACTTGAACTTGCAAGGCTTGTGCTGCTAAGACAAGGAATCCCTGAAAGAGGGGCCCTTTCCTGGTGTTAGGGAAGCCAACAAAAAACATGATGTCCAGCGTTTCTGTTGGATCTCTCTTTCTAGAACACCCTTCATGGAGCTCACAACCCCCTTTTGTGGTAAATAGGAGAAATAAGGCCTTTGGCATCTTCGCCAGAACAACCAGCCCTTAGCACAACTTTGCAAAAGAGAGCGGAGGCGAACCGGATTTCCAAATGGCGAAGAGGGTTGGTCCTGCTTATTTATCCCACAACTTGCTGGTGCTCATCAGGGAATGAGAAATACAATGACCCAAAAAAAAACCATCCAACTGGTGGTTTCCTTTGTTCGGGAATCCCCAGGTTCATTCAACCGCATTCCCTACCTATCGCACCAGCAAGACAAGCAAGTCAAAAATTGGACAATGTTCACTGTTTACTTGCCGGCTGGAAGGAAAGAAGCCATTCAGGAAACACCAATGTTGAGACACCCCCCATATCTTCATAGCACCCTGCAAGCCAGGGTCTTTGTGGAGGCAAACCTCGGCGCCACCCGAACGAGCTGAAGCGCTCGGCGCGAAGCGCTCGACCTCCACCGCTGCGAGGCTGGGGGGCAGCATCTTGGAGGCAGCCCAGTGGTTGCCCAGCCTCGTGTCGCGCGCTCCGAACCGTTTCCCGTTTCGCTTGGGTCGGGGTTTCGCCCAGGAAAATCATCACATGGGGGTTTGCTGGGTAACCTACATGGGCGGCTTCTCAACATGGTCCCCTGAATTGGTGGGTGTGCTGGGTTTCTCTCAGAGCCAGTTTCAGTTATAGTACATAGGAGCCAAATTGAGTCATCATCACGAAGAGATTCTAGCCGGACCCTCCAGTTCCATTCTGAAAGTCAGATTATTCTCAACCAAATGAGAAAATACACCCCTGGAACAATGGGTGGTTTCGAAAGCGAACGATGGGTGAAGAGAATGGAAAGGGAAACAATCAGTAGAAACAACAAGATGCGTTCCTGGGGTTCAAACTCCCAAGAAAAGAAAGCGGGGGCGAATACAACCATCTTTTTTTCCAAAGGAGTTTCATCATCTGAATTGGGTCAACTTTTACTTTACTTACTGGGGTTGAAGCCTGTAGGCTGTGATGTCAACAGCAACCAATGAAACATAAATAACAAATGGGATTCGCAAACTTGCGAAAGCGAACCCACATTTGTTGTCTATGAAATACTTGCCATCACCCCGGTCGGTGTTTTTCTAGTGTTCGCGGGAAATGGGGGTTGTCCACCACCAACAGTAGCCTACAATAATGTTGTCAGTTCATTTGAGTACCAGACCCACTATCACCAGACACCGAGGCCCCAACCAAAACCAATTGGCAAGGCTGTCCGACGCCATAGGGGACGACCTATTGCTATGGGGTACTTTCTTTCCAAAAGGCTCCAGACAGCTGCCAGCCTTCGGCGCAATGTCTTCTAAAACCTTTTCTGCCTTCCCTGCTTGTTGGCAGGGTACAAGAAAGCATGGAATGGTGTCACTCATGGGTATCTATCACCTAGTTGGCATGTAGCCAAAAGGGTGGTATTACTTCACTGTACGTTGGTATGACTTCTCAGTACTTCTCTTTGAGCCCCCTATAGCTAAAAGGTTCTTAAAGCAGCATGCATAACAATCGGACAATGCTCATCCAGGGCGCAAAAGAGCAAGAGATCAGGCTCGCATGCTGGGAGTCATCCTCCTCAAGAGTATGCATCGCAACAAGTGTTGCCAGCAAATTCACATGCAGGCCTTCAGGAGTTTTACACATGTGTGCCAAGCACAAGCGAGGCACCCTCGGACCACAAAGCATATAAGTTGATAACATTCTGAGCCTTGGAAAAATGTCCCATACTATACAAGGAGTAGGTGGGTGTTTCGTGTTTCTTTTTGGCAGTGTTGGCTGTTCCCGATTCCTTTGATCTTCGAGCACCCTGCATCCGGCTGAAATCAAGACGAAACACAAGAAGGACTCCGTCTTGCAGATTTGGAAGACGAAGGTTTCCTGTTTAACGAGGCTTCGGTCGCCTGGTTTAAACATGTAACTTAAACCATTACTTACACAGCCACCTTTTGGTTTCCGGGTCCCAGCCGGGGGGCTTGCGGTTTTGTGCACATCGGCACGCGACTCATTTTTTGCCCCCGTCTTCGGGTTTCGGCCCCCGGGCTTCTTCAGCTGAATGGGGCGAGTGAAGCCGTCCAAGGAGGTGAGTGCATAGACAAAGTTGGCCTAAGCCATGGTTCTGGTTGACTTCTGGTTGGGTCGAACAACCCACCGGCCACTTGAGAATATGTTTGCTCTTGTTGGTCCTTTTCCATAAAACCTCCGGCCACTTTGGGTGTTGAACAAAACACAAAAAACTTCCCCTGCTTTCGGGGTGCCATGTAATTTGCTCCCTCAAGGCGCTGAGGGGCTGGAGCGCTGGCCTGGGACCGAAAACAAACTGGGCTGTGCTACAACTAGAGAACATCAACGCAGGGTCCTAGTGATTTGCCCGACATCTCAGCTTTCCTCTTGGCTTTTTAGATTGGTGGGGAGGTTGGGGGAGGCTTCCTTAAACCACTGATCCACATCACTGAAGGGTAACCTCAACCTCTCATCTGGGGTGCTCAGGAAAACATCTAGGCAAGCACCTCAGTGGTATAACCCCCCCAACCTCGTGAACAAACGACGGTGTATGCCCAAGTTCAGCCGATGGACAAAACTGTGTCCGGACAAAATGTCACGGCAGCATGTGGGAGACCACTCCAGCCCAAACAAACCAGGAATGTTGCAATAGTAAGTTTAAGACACAGCAAAGCATGCGTCTGGGCAATGTGCAACAGCGTGTGGCAAACCAGTCCAGCCCCGAACAGGGTGCGAACCCTTTTGTACCTCCCCCGCCCCCGGCTCCAAAGACAAATCTCAAGCAGAGCCGCTTCGAGGGTAGCTTGCAGGATTTGCAGTCTGATTGATAAAATTGTCTCTAGGTCCTCCAGTGGAGAGGCTAGAATAAGGGTACCAACTTTTTTCTGTAGTCTATTTTACTAGGGGAACCCTCCCCAAAAAAAAAGGTTGAAGGGCACTGCTGGGGGACCTTGGTTTTGAAGGAGACCACTGCCAGGGTCCTGAACATTGACGTGCAACCCTTGAAAGCCGTGACTTTTGGAGGAAGCACCTCTTGGGGAAACCCATGGAAACCTTTTTTTGCTTGAGCAAAGCACCGGGGTACGCCAAAAATGATGCGTTGAGATTATCTTCCGCGTTTCGTCGCCTTACGTGGTGGTTGCCGGAAGTGGCACTTGGCAACCCTATGCCAAAGTGTGCAATCCTCCACATCTGTTTGAGAAGCCAACCATACGAAACGCCATGGAGAGCAGCGGACTGAATGGTTCGGCTTGCTTGCAAGAGGGCAGGGGCATCCACCGATTCCACTTTGCTTGGCTAGGTCCAGATTTGAGAGGTTAGAACAAGCTGGTACCAACTTGTGTCTGTAGTCTGTTTAGGGGAATCTTCCCCCAAAAAAGAAACGGTGAGAAAGGGCACCTGGCTGGGGGACCTAGGCAATGATAATACCAGCGTGGAGCGCGAATCATGCGAAATGGCCACTCCGTAGAAATCCAGTTGCTCCACCTCATGGCAACGGACAGTCTGAAGCTTCTAGGGGACACTTCCCCATTCTTTCCAGGCATCCTTCTTTGAACAAACCACACAAGACCCTGGCGAAACAGCTGGTTTTTGAAAAGAACGATGGTAGAAAAGAATGGGGAATCAACCCCTAGAAATCCGCCGACATTGCTCGGCGTGTCGGATACTTACTAGAGGATAGAGGATAACCCCCCCCCCCCCCCCCCCCGCCCGACGTCTATTACGTAGGTTTTTTTTGGGGGGGGGGTCCCCCACGTACCGCGCGGCAATTTGATGACGTTCCACTAAACGTAGTCTTCGGGGAGCCGGTGTCGCAAAACAGGGGTCCCAGGCTCGATTCCCCCTGCCGGCTTTTTTGCTGGCTTGGGCTTCCTGCATCCTTTTGCCGAAAATCTGGAAAAACTCAATGTTTTTGGACGTCCTCTTTGCGAAAACGCTGGAAAAACCGTGTTTTTTTGCGGGAAATACATACATACATGCATGAATGCATGCATGCATACATACATACATACATACATACATACATACATACATACATACATACATACATACATACATACATACATACATACATACATACATATACATACATACATTACATACATACATACATACATACATACATACATACATACATACATACATACATACATACATACATACATACATTACATACAACATACATACATACATACATACATACATACATACATACATACATACATACATACATACATACATACATACATACATACATACATACATACATACATACATACATACATACATACATACATACATACATACATACATACATACATACATACATACATACATACATACATACATACATACATACATACATTACATACATACATTACATACATACATACATACATACATACATACATACATACATACATACATACATACATACATACATGCATACATACATACATACATACATACATACATACATACATACATACATACATACATACATACATTACATTACATACATACATACATACATACATTACATTACATACATACATACATACATACATTACATACATACACCATGCGCATACATACATACATACATACATACATACATACATACATACATACATACATACATACATACATACATACATACATACATACATACATACATACATACATACATACATACATACATACATACATACATACATACATACATACATACATACATACATACATACATACATACATACATACATTACATACATTACATTACATACATTACATACATACATACATTACATACATTACATTACATTACATACATACATACATACATACATACATACATACATACATTACATTACATTACATTACATTTACATTACATTACATACATACATACATACATACATACATACATACATACATACATACATACATACATACATACATACATACATACATACATACATACATACATACATACATACATACACATACATACATACATACATACATACATACATACATACATACATACATACATACATACATACATTACATACATACATACATACATACATACATACATACATACATACATACATACATACATACATACATACATACATACATACATACATACATACATACATACATACATACATACATACATACATACATACATACATACATACATACATACATACATACATACATTACATACATACATACATACATACATACATACATACATACATACATACATTACATACATACATACATACATACATACATACATACATACATACATACATACATACATACATACATACATACATACATACATACATACATACATACATACATACATACATACATACATACATACATACATACATACATACATACATACATACATACATACATACATACATACATTACATTACATTACATTACATTACATTACATACATACATACATAC